GAGGACCAGCAAGACAAGACCACGGAGGACAGCGGCCCTCTTCCAACGGCAGCCACTGCGCCAGGGCGTGGACCACACCCCGTCACAAGGAGGAGCAAGGAGCAGCGGCCGCAGCCTAAGCCCACGGATGGCAGGCTTGAGCCAGCGGTGCAGGTGCCCTCTGGCACAGTCCTACTGGGCCCAGCCCCTCAGGCCAGCACAGCCCCACCAGGAAACAGGGTGGTGCTTTCATTTTGCCACAATCAGTGCAATTACAAAAGCACTATCTACACGACCTTACTGGTTAAGGATCTAAGGAATCTAAAGGAGCTCTCTTGCTCACGAAAGGGCAGCAGGCGTTCTCACATCTGTGAACAAGGCTCAAAACTGGCACAAGACCGAGACCAGTGGACAAGTAAGCGGGGCTCCCGCTGCCGTCAGGGTCACTGAGTGGGGTGGGTAGAGGTTAAATACAATGCAGATTCCTGAGCCCGTTTTAAACCTGCTCTGAACCAGACTCGATGTCTGGGGTGAGGGCAGGGAGGCGTGTTTGTGAAGCTCCCGGGGTACTCGCGGGTGCAGGAAAGCCCAAGAATCAAGAACAGAGGCATTAGCTCTGGGCCGCGTCCCCAGGCTGCCAGGGCTCCCAGCCACGACGCCACCGACGCTTGCTGGGACCGCCTCAACCATTCTCTGAGGAACCTCCCCGAGTGCCAGTAAGGACAGGAAACCGCCCCGTGGCAGCGGGAACTGCCGCCCCCGAGGGGGAGGACCGCGAGCAAGTGGTCGGGGACGGGAAGGAGGGCCGGGTGGAGTCTCTGTGGGGCGACAGACGCCAGGGGAGGGGCTCAGAGACACAAGTGCCCTCTGACTCCGCAACCCTCCTTCCAGGCACCTCAATGTTACCGAAGGGTGAGAATTAAGCCTACCTGGAGAGAAGGACGACCTCCTGATCAGAAAGACAAGACCAGAGAGATGGCGACTCTCCCGGAGCGCAGTCTACAAACGCAAGCAATCCAACCAAAGTCCCACTGGGATGTTTAAAAACACAACCTGAAAATTGGATTCTGGAACTCACGTGAGGAAAACGCACAAGAAATGCGTGAGGGGAGAAGACCCGGGCCGCAGGAGCGCAACGGAGGGGTGCTGAACAGGTGTGAGGGGCGGCGAGCCAGCACAGCACCCGGACCCACCGGACCTCCGGCCGCGTGCGCACAGGTTCTCCGGAGCCCTTGGCGGGCATGGGCACACGCACACACCCCGGGCTTTCCTCTCAGGCACGTGCTATTCTGCTTCGTGGGCTTTTCATGGAGGTTTCCGTGTTAAAACGAGAGGGAGCGTTTCTCCGGGGCACGCTCCCATCAGTGCACTCGGGGCCGAAGCGTGCGCACGTGTCCCGTGACAGCAGAGTGACGGTGCAGGCGACACCAGCGGCGGCTCACCTTCTCCCGTCCTGGGCGCGGTTTCCCATCATGCCGCTCGCCACTTTACAGGAAGCCTGGGCTGCCCTCGGGGCACCGCCTCCCACACAAAAAACTTCCCGGGGTCACACGTGTCATGTCTCGCGGCTCCCGGTGCAGTGGGACACCCATCTGCAGGCGCGCCGGGCCGTGGAAAGCTGCACCGGCGCGAGAAAGGGCCGCGCCTGCTCACTTTCCTCAATGGTCTCAGGACAACCCCGGGGGCAGGCGGGGTGGGTGGCGGGGCCGCACCCCGAGGGCCGAGGCACCAAGAGTTTCGGGAAGGCTGGGGCTCAGCGCCTGAGATGATTAAGGGTGGGAGACGACACGCCAGAGGCAGGGCAAACATGAGCAAAAACGTACTGGGACCTCATCAAGATAAAGAGCTCCTGCACGATGAAGGAAACAACCAATAAAACTAAGGGGCAACCGTCGGAATGGGAGAGGATGTTTGATACCTGATAAAGAGTTAGTGTCAAAAATTGATAAAGAACTTACCAAACCCAACACCCCAAAAGCATAATCCACGAGGAAATGGGCAGAAGACCTGAACAGACACTTCTCCAAAGAAGACATCCAGGTGGCTCACAGACACATGAAAAGATGCTCAGCATCACTCATCATGAGGGAAATACAAATCAAAACACACTGAGATACCACCTCACACCTGTCAGAATCGTGAAAACCAACCACTCAGGAAACAACAGATGTTGGTGCAGATGTGGAGAAAGGGGAACCCTCTTGCCTCGCTGGTGGGAACGCAAACTGGTGCGGCCACTCTGGGCAACGGTATGGAAATTTCTCAAAAATTTAAAACTAGAACTACCCCACAACCCAGCAACTGCCCTACGAGGTATTTACCCAAAGGATACAAAAATGCAAATTCAAGGGGGTACATGCACCTTGATGTTTATAGCAGCATTATCTACAATAGCCAAGATACGGAAAGAGCCCAAATGCCCACTGACTGACAAACGGATAAAGAAGATGTATAGACAACGGAACATTATTCACAGACCAAAAAGAAGGAAATGTCGCCATTTGCAGCAACACGGATGGAGCCGGAGGATGTTATGCTAAGCGAAGTCATGTCAGCGAGAGAAAGATACCATACGTGTTTCACTCCTGTGTGGAATTTAACAAAACACATGAACATACGGGACCGCGAGTATCAAGGGAAGCAAACCACGAGAGACTCTGAAGGATCAAGAACAAGCTGAGGGCTGATGGAGGGGGTGGGTGGGGGTGGAGGGCATGTGTTGCAGTGAGCACTGGGTGGCGTATGTGAGTGGCGAATTCTACTCCCGGAACCAATACTACACTATGTGTTAACTAAAACTTAAATAAAAATCTGAAAAAGAGAAAATTAAAACAAGTACCTGTCTCTGGCGCTCTGCCATCTAATCAGAAAAAAGAGTAGGACACAACAAAGACGAGGAAATGGACGTCTGTCACCAGGTACTGTCTTGTGACACCACTTGGGACTTTCTGCTCCACCAGCAGGCTCAAGACAGAAGACACCTCCTAACGATCAACGCGCGAAGCAACAGAGCCCAGAAGCCCGCTGGTCATTTAAGTCTCCTCGCAAACAGAATCGGGGGCAGAGCTGGCGACAACCCTCCACCTCGTGACTCCCAGGTCTGTGCCCACGGGCTGCACCTTCTAGTCAGAGGATGCTTGCACGTGGCCCAAGGACCACTCGCAGCAGCGCTCTGTCCCTCGCCCACCGGAGCTGAGGTCCTCACCCAGAAGGAAGGCCGGAAAAGGGACAACTTAGATGCAAAGGGAAGTAAAGCCCACGCTCTTTTCCCGCCCCATCACTCCATCCAGACTAAAGCCCGGAAGCCTCACCTCCGCGGTTTCCCGCTAGTTCTGAACAGCTCTACGACACACCGCGTACTTCGGCAAGCGTTCAAGCACCGAGGGACCGCTTTCTCAGGGACCACTTCCAACACGGGACAGAGGCCGTGAATGCCGTGCATGCGTGCTGGGGTGACAGCGGGCCCCGGGCCGCATCAAGGCAACGGCGGCCACGGCAAGCCCCTCCGAGGGCGCATCCCCTAGCAGCCCTACGTCCACAGTGCCCCCCTGCTTCCGTGTGACAGACACCCGTGGCACGTGCCACACAACCGGGAGAGTCTGAGGGCCACGGGGAAGTGTGCGCACCAGCGAGCGGCTCGGGGCGGCACCGCCGGCAGCACGGGCCCCGCTGAGCCGCGGCCAGAGAGCCGTGGGTGCTCGCGGAGCCCGTCGCTGTCCCTCGGCCGGCCGTTATTATGGACAAAAAGCTACTCAGACGGACAAAAATGCTAAGAAGCTGTCTTGAATCAATTCACCAGACACGGACAGGCAACAAATAACGAGTGGGTTCTCAAAAGTACACAAGCAAAGCGAGAGAGACGACAAAGAGCGCGTGCTCTGGGCCTAAATACTTGGAAATGGAGGCTAAAAGACGAAGTTTCAACAAATACGTAACAAAATCCATTTTTCATATGAAAACCACTGGACTGCTGTGCCCACCAAGACCAGGATCCTTTCCCAAAGCAAGTAAGAGAAAGGGAAACAAAGTTGGTGGCGGGTGAAGTGCGCAGAGGCGCTCCAGTGATCACGTGTCCTGCAGCAGGGTTAGCGGGGCTTGCGGTCTACACTTGAACCGGCACGGCGGCCTCCGCGGGGTCAGCGCCCAGGCCCCACGCTGGTCGGAGCTGGTGGGAGCCGGCCCCGACAACCCGGCCCCGGCAGTCTCCTAGGAGGCTCATCATCACATGAGTGACAGAGTGACAGACCCTCCCTTGGGCCTAGGACCCGAGAAGGGTGCGGCCCCACGCCCGAACCCTGCAATCCGGCGCCTGCCCCGGCCGCTGAGGAAGCTCCGGTCTGCTGCTCTGACAGCGGAGACAGAACCCCGCACCTGGGCTGTGCGCGACCCCGGCAACTGGGCACGTGCACCCCCGAAGGATAAAGCCAACTAACGCTACTTTCCACGTCGTTCCGCTGTCATTCTGGTGACGAGCAGCTCCAGCTCTGACCGGCGGAGAACGTGCAGTACGACGTGACACTCACGTCGTCATCGTCACCGACGGGGGCAGAAATCAAGCACCGACGACGGCAGAGCCTGGTTTATTGAGAACATCAGGAAGGCTCTGCCCGCTTTCCTCTCCTCTTTCCAGCTCTGCTATGTCAACCTGACCCAGACAGAGCACGCCCTTGGGGGAAACAGCAGCAAGCTGAAACCCAGAGCTGCCTCCGACAGCCGAGGACGAGAGCTGCACCCCAAATGACACATGCAGGCGCAGCCGAGGGCGGACGGGACGGCAAGCAGGGACGCGGCGCTGGCCCCCGCAACACCCTCAACGGAGTCCGGCCCCAGGCAGCTGTTGAGAAGGAGCGAGAGGAAAGACAAGCTCTGCCTTCGCTTCGGTGACCGCAGGGCTGGTCTCCCGGGGCTCTGACATCGTGCTCTGCGGAGCCCAGGGATCTGACCGCGTCACTGCGCACGCGGAACGCCGGCACAGGACAGCGGCCAAGGCCAGAAGTCGGGCCCATCACCCGGCACCTTACCTTACTTGCTCCCAAGTCTTGGTGGCCAAATGCAGGACCCAGAGATCCTTGTAGTGGTAGAACTGCTCTCCGTCGGGAGAGGCAAACTCCCCTCCGAAGATCCACAGCTGACCCCCACCTTGGGGCACCACCACAGCCTGCGGGAAGAAGGCAGAGGTCAGGGCCGGCTCCGTGTCCGCGAGGTCCACCAGAGCAGTGCACCCGGCAGTTGCGGCCGGCGCGCGCACTCAGCCACCACCTTCCCCTGCGTCTGAGGGGGAAATTCCTCAAACCTCCTGCATCCGGCAAATAAGCTTCCACGGACTCCTAGGTTGCAAAATATATCTAGATGACCTCGCATCTCGTTAAAATGGACAAAATTATGTCAGAAGCTTACGTCAGATCTAACACAAACTGACAGAGGGCTTCCTTTTTATTAAATATTAACATATTTGTACGTATAAACGCCTGTCCTTGCTAATCCCTTCCCTGGCTATCTGGCACGCACGCCTGACACTGCACTAACACACATGTGGTATGTAACGTTTACACGCTCATCTTTAAAAGACCTAGGGGCGCCTGGGTGGCGCAGTCGGTTAAGCGTCCGACCTCAGCCAGGTCACAATCTCGCGGTCCGTGAGTTCGAGCCCCATGTCAGGCTCTGGGCTGACGGCTCAGAGCCTGGAGCCTGTTTCCGATTCTGTGTCTCCCTCTCTCTCTGCCCCTCCCCCATTCATGCTCTGTCTCTCTCTGTCCCAAAAATAAATAAACGTTGAAAAAAAAAATTTTAAAAGACCTAAGCACAGGGGCGCCTGGGTGGCTCAGTCGGTTAAGCGTCCGACTTCGGCTCAGGTCACGATCTTGTGGTTCACGAGTTCGAGCCCCGCGTCGGGCTCTGGGCTGACAGCTCGGAGCCTGGAGCCTGCTTCCGATTCTGTGTCTCCCTCTCTCTCTGACCCTCCCCCCATTCATGCTCTCTGTCGGTCTCAAAAATAAATAAACGTTAAAAAAAAAAAAGAAAGTGTTAAAAATAAAAGACGTAAGCACAACGGTAACGGCAAGCAAAAGCAGGGAAGTGCCCTTGGGCCGCACGCCCAGGAGCCCTGGCAAGCTCACGCCAGTGGGCGCGGGAAAGGAGGGGGTGTGCCGACCAGGCTCCTCGCAACGCGAAGCTTCTCAGGCCGACGTGAGCACACTTCGGAGTATCGTGGGGCCTAGCAGGGTATCCGAGCTCTCAGAACAACGGTCCACGGGGACATCTCGTGAACCAACGTGCCCACGTGAGGCGGAGGCCAGTGAGGACGGGAGCTCCGGGGCTCACATCACTACCCAAGGTTACTCGCTCACTGAATGAAAATGAAGCAAGAGGGGCGCCTGGGGGGCTCGGTCGGTTAAGTGTCCGCCTCTTGGTTTCGGCTCAGGTCACGATCTCAACGGTCCACGGGTTCGAGCCCCACGTCGTGAGATCTGCCAGCGCAGAGCCCACGTGGGATTCTTTGTCTCTCCCTCTCTCTGTCCCTTCCCCATTCGTGCCGTCTCTCTTTCAAGATAAATAAATAAACTTAAAAAAAAGAAAAAAGAAAAAGAAAATGAAGAATAGCCAGCACCCCAGAAACACAAGCACGAAAACACACGACTTTTCCAAGCAATCCTGGGGCTCCTACAGCGAGCACGCGGTAGAATTCCCCGTCACCACTGAGACCGATCTCCAGGGGGTGAGGACAATGCTCTGGACGCCAGACCGGGGATCGCCGTGCTAGACCCCCCACCAGAGGGGAAAAAGCAAGTCAAAGCACGTGATTAAAAAGGCCTTTCCCGAAAAGGCAAAGGTACCGTGTAAGGAAACAGATTGCAGAAAGCCAAAACAGGAGAGAATGCTACTCCACATAAAAAGACCTTTACAGATGCAAATACGAGAAACATGGATTTGGAGAATTCTAAAGGCAATTTCTAGACTATCTAGTCCAGGGCTCTGGAGCTTCGGGCTGGATATTTTGGGGAAGCAGAAGAACTCTTCTCCAAACAGGAGCGTCAATGCGGACTGAAGGGCGACACAAATCAAAGTGGAAACACCGCCCAGAATTCCAGAGCCTGCCCACCTCGTCACCCTGAGGACACGCGGGCTCTGAGCCTGGACCCCATTGCAGAATGCCTGGCCCGGGACCTGGCTGAAGACCCAGGGCTCAGAGGACACACGGGAACCGCCTGTGTGGTTCACGATCGCCTGAACCCACCCCCACCACAGCCACACACCTCACAGGCCACCCGGTGGCTGCAAGTCCGCCTCCCGTGACATCCCGCTCCGTGACACACACCCCCCAGCCGACGGTACCGTTTCGTGGACAGTCGCCATCTGGCCCGTGCTACGGCGACCCGTAAACCGCGTGTCTGAGGGGACAGACCCCACGGCGAAAACCTCTGCAAGCATCCCGCAAACCCGGGCTGCGGTGCTCACTCGGGCAACAGCCAGCACAGACCAGATGTCGCGCTGGCCCACCCTGGGATCACCAGCCACGGGTGCCAGGCAACGAAGCAGACAACACAGGCGTGTCCTTCACACCAGGGGGCGGGAGACGGGATCACGACAGGGGTCTCTGGCCAGAGAGCTCAGAAGCGGTCACCACAGCGGCAGGAGGTGGTTGGGGTGGGGGCACCCAGGGAAGGCGCTTCCGGCCCTCACAAACCTCCGTGAAAGAGTGCACACTGGGTGGGTCGCACAGTTCTCAGGAAGCACTGTCCTCTGAGCACCCCAGGGCTTCCACTGCAGTGCGGGCTGTCGGCCCTGCCCGGCACTTAGGACACGGCAGGACGTGGCTCTGTCACCGATGCCACTCCTGCCTAGACTAGCTGGAGGGTCCCGGTGGCATATTAGGGTGGCACGGCCCTCTCCACTCCCATTAGTAACCAGTTTTGAATGCACTGTCTCTGCACAGATCCTCCCCTCTCGAGACAGGTCAGTTTCCCGTCACTCTAAAACACCAGTCCGTCTATGGGAAACAAACTGATCATTTCACGGCATGAAAGCAGATGTGATGATTTTTGGGGTTTAGTGAGGTCAGGTGGTACAGTCAAGCTACGCAATACAATGGGGTCCTGAGATATCATGTTATAGAAGGCCATCATACACACACACACACGTGCGCGCACACACACACACTCACACGAATTTGTGTATATTCCAGCTAATAAGAAATACTAACGTACAAGAAGAAGAAGGACGTGTTTAGAGATACAAATATATGAAATAGTTCTGGAAGAATGGACAATGGACTTACTTCCCTTTTTAATTCTTGTCATTTTTTTGACAATGAATACTTACTATTTACGTAATCAGTTTTGGGAAGCTTTCTTTAAAAACAAAGTCACAAGGCGCCTGGGTGGCTCAGTCCATTGAGCGTCCGACTTCAGCTCAGGTCATGATCTCACGGTCTGAGTTCGAGCTCCATGTCGGTCTCTGTGCTGACAGCTCAGAGCCTGGAGCCCACTCCAGATTCTGTGTCTCCCCCTCTCAATGCCCCTCCCCTGCTCATGCTCTGTCTCTCTCTGTCTCAAAAATAAAATAAAATAAAAAACATTAAAAGAATTTTAAAAAAATAAAAAAATATAAATAAAAAATTAAAAACGAAGTCACTCAGGAGCCTGGGTGGTCCGACTTCGGAGTGTCCGACTTCGGCTCAGGTCATGATCTCGCAGTGTGTGAATTCGAGCCCCGCGTCGGGCTCTGTGCTGACAGCTCTGAGCTTGGAGCTGCTTCGGACTCTGTGTCTCCCCCTCTCTCTGCCCCTCCCCCGCTCGTGCATAAAAAAATTTTTTAAAAAGTCACTCCCCAGGAAGGAGACAACGACTGAGGAGGAGCTCACCATCCACACCCCACCCCCAACTCCACTACAGCAGCAGGCCTGGCCCAGGGAGAACCCCTGCGACGGTAGGAAGGTGGGTCCACGGTCAGCGACCTTGAGCTTCATCTGACCTACTCCCCAGTGACCGTGAACGCCTAGAGAAAAGTTAACATACTAGTCAAGAGAAGGCTAACCCTAAGGAGACAGGCATAAAACCCGCACTTGTGAGCAGGAGGGAACCCCTGCCGCACTCTAGTCCTCCCTCTGCCAACACGGACAAAACCGGACAGGATCCGTGAAGCAACTACCATCGGACAACAGGAGGAGCATGGGTGGGGTGGGCCCTTCAATGCTGGAGGCGGTGCCTGCACCTGATGCAGAGAAAGGAGCCCAACGGAGCAGGTGGCCTTACCGAGCTGAGGAGACAGAGGTCAGAGTTCAGGGACGCTGGCTGAGGACTGCTAGAATTTGCCAGGGCAGAATATGGAGAGCGCGCACCCTGGACGTCCATCCACGCAGGAGTCAGGAGTCCTGCCGGAGCTTTTCAGCACTCTGCTGCACAGGGGGCGGGGCCAGACCACGGGGGCGGGGTCAGCACCCACCAGGGCCAGGTTGCGCTGGCGCAGAGACCAGCAAGTTCCAACTAGACCGAGTGGAAGGTGTCACTGAACACCCAGGGCATTCAGTGGAGACCCCAGAAAGACCACACCCTAGGGCTAAGCCATCCCAAGGGAAAGCCTCAAAAGGATCCCAATGATCTTCAAGTGACTGAACCACCTGCAAGGACAAAACTCATCATTCACTGAGAGAAGAGAACAAAATCCAACAGGCAGCAGTCACAAATCTAGCCAGGTGCTGGTGACGGCCAGGAGCACCACCCGACCAGCACCTAACCGTACGTTGCTAGGGGGAAGATGTGCCCTATCAGAAGAAAGGTCGGCAGAAAGAGACCCAGAACTGAGATGAGAGAGCTAGCACATGAGGACTGGAGAAGAGTTATAAATACGCCCGAAGATTTAAAGGAAAATATGAATGTGATAACTAGACGGGAGAACAGCAATCAGACCTGAACAACTCAGTGTGTCAGAAACAGCACTGGTAAAACAAGAAGTAAACAGGTACACAGCACATGTACCGTAACGGGCAACAGAAACTTCCGAAATGAAGCCAAACACAAAAAAGACTGGAAGAAGGAGGAGGAGGAGGAGGAGGAGGAGAAAGAAGTAAAGACTCCTTGCCTGCTGGACGATATGAAGCAGTCTAACATACACATAACTGGATTCCCGAAAAATGAGCAGGTGCCTCAAAATCAAACTGCT